TCCGAACGCGTCGAGAAGGGGTCCCAAACGTTCGGGCGTTCGGGTTCGGGTGTTCGGCCCGTCCCGAACGCTGGCTACCCTGTATATATATATACATTGTTGCCGGCCCGAACGTGCGGCCGCGGTCCAGCCCCACCCCGAACGTTCGGTCGTTCGGGCCGGCGTTCAGGGCCCGTCCGACCTCCTGTTCAGCCTCCGCCAAGGCCCGTAAGTGCACCTGTTTTTTTTTTTTTTCGCGTTTGTCAATTTTCGACTGTGGATGGGGGAGGCGAAGCAACACGTGTTGGTCAAAGAAAAAAGACAGAGAAAAAAAAATTAAAAAAAATGCTCATCCAATAAAAGTGGGCCACGTGGCGTGCAGACCGAACGAGACCACGTTCGGCCGAATGCCGGACCAGGCTCGGTGGTACCGGTTGGCGTTCGGCCGTCCGCGCGAATTTGAAAAAAAAAGGGTCGGAATTCGGTCCCGGACTTTCTATCTGGGCGAACTCCAACGCTTCTTCGTATTCTACGCTGCTGCGAACGCATGTAGAGCACCCGAACGGCCAGCGGCACGCATGGGTAGGTCTCTCTCTCTCTCTCTCTCTCTCTCTCTCTCTCTCTCTCTCTCTCGTCTTCTTTTCTGTTTTCCCTTTATTCTGCTTTCTATCCTCCAATCAACCAATCAACAAATCAATCCAAATTGGCAAGGAAGTTGATTGTTCGATTGATTGATTGATTGATTTATTGATTGATTGGTTAATTGATAGACTCTCTTTCTCTCTCTCTCTCGTCTTCTTTTCTGTTCTTTCCTTTCATTCTTCTTTCCATCCTCCAATCAACCAATAAACAAATAAATTGAAATCGACATCAACAAGGAAGATGATTGATTGATTGATTGATTGATTGATTGATTGATTGATTAATTGATTGATTGATTGATTGATTGATTGATTGATTGATTGATTGATTGATTAACTGACTGATTGATTGATTGATTTGGGGCGGTGGGTGTTGACGCCGTAATTGGGGACGGAAGTCGGGATCGGTGTAGGGAAGTCGTTGGAGGGAACCCGCGAAGTCCGGGGAGGGGGAGGGGGGGAGTGGGGAAGTCGGAGGAGGCAATTGGGGAGTCGGGAAGTCGGGGGAGGGAAGACGGGGGAGGGGAGTCGGAAAGTACGCGGAATGGAAGTCGGATGGAAAGTAGGATGGGGAGGGAAGTTGGGAAGTCGTGATCGGGACAGGGAAGTCGGGGGAGGGAAGTCGGAACCAGGGCAGGGAAGTCGGCACGTCGGGGAAGGGAAGTCGGGGGAGGGAAGACGGGGGATATATGTATATATGACTGCATTTTCCACCTGACCTGGATGCACCTGACCGCAAATACGTCCACAAACAAGTGGAAAAAGTCCTAGTGTGAGTATGCCCGGAGAATAGAACACAGGGAGAGTAACTGTTCCTGCAACTGAACTCATTTTCCTCTCAGCCATGCAACAATTCTCAGATGATAGCAGCCTTGTTGTGCTATTGTAATTTTCCGGCTTTATTTCCCCCTTTTTTCATGGGTTTATTTTCCCCCCCATCGAAACAGTGAAGTTAATTGATATGATCGACGAAGACAAATACAAAATTATCGAGAAGGAGAGAAGATTGAAAAAAAAGAGAACGAAGAAATGAATGTGAGACAACCCTAATCTTCTCCTTCCTCCGATTACCAGAGACACCCCCAACCCTATCCTGCCCGATCCCCTTCCTCTCAGTACTCTCCAGACCATGCAATTATGAAGCCAGATGAATGACGAATGCGTGCACCACCACCGATGAGGCAGCCGAGGCAGAACCATGTCCGAAACCCTCCTCTCTTCTTTCCCTATGAAAAGAACCTATCCGTGCGAGAGAGAGAGAGAGAAAAGCGGAGGAGAGAGAGAGAGAGAGAGAGAGAGAGAGAGAGAGAGAGAGANGAGAGAGAGAGAGAGAGAGAGAGAGAGAGAGAGAGAGAGAGAGAGAAGCGGAAGAAACGAACCTATCCCTGAATCGCGTTACGAGAGCGAGAGAGAGAGAGAGAGAGAGAGAGAGAGAGAGAGAGAGAGAGAGAGAGAGAGATGGAAGCAAGGAACCTATGAGTGAGTCTTGTAGAAAATACGTGGCAAGGGTACGATTTTGGATGCACACACGTGCCGACGACACGTGGCAGTTAATCTTGTAGGTCACGTGTCCTGGCAGCGGTTGCTGACGTTGTAGGATACATGTCCCGGAAAGTCGACACGTGGCAGCGTGTCCTGGAAAGCGTGGGATTCCTGTTCGCTCTGTGTGTGGATTCTGGATGCACACATGAGTGCGTAGTGACGTGGCAGCCTGTATTGTACGACACGTGTCCTGGATGCAGTCCACACGTGGCAGTGAATCTTGTAGGATGCGTGTACTACAAGATTCTGGATGCACGCGTGGGTGCGCACATGCGGCAGCCTGTTTGTAGGACGTGTGTCCTGGTAGCGGTCGGCGGATTGTTGCATGTTGTTTGTTGATTCTGGATGCACACACGCGGCAGGCTATCTTGTAGTAGTACAGGGGGCGAAGGGAGGGAGGAGGGGGGGAGGGAGGGGGGAGGGAATTGTGCTGCATGTGGAATTGATTGGTATTGATGTCACAATGTAGTCTGTAGGAGGGGGGGAGGGAGAGGAAAATGTGTGTATACTAACAACTTAGCATGTTGCTGCGCACAACATACATGAGCATGCATAGTCAACGGGAAACACTATACAGGGTAAAGGGATTTTGAAGCACAAAGCAAGCCCAACAAATACGCCAGCAAATACAGGTTAAAGGGATTTTACAGCACAAAGTAAGCCCAACAAATATATACCAATGCCAACAACATCTCTATCCTCTCCACGCTGTCCTTTAGCTAGCTACGCACACATGCATGTTTGCGAAAAGCAGATACACGGTCAAAAACACATGCACACACACATACACAAACAAACACAAAACATTTGCACACTTCTCCACCCCGTCCACTTCCTCAATATTAGTACTTGAGCATAGACTGGTCTGTAGTTGTTTGGGACATACCTTGCACAAGTACTGTACACAATCACGCCCCACACAGCATAACAGAAACCCTCCATCGTGATTATAATCACCCTACATTCCGGAGGAGCCTGCTACAGACATTTCACAGATGCAGCCCTCCCTCACCTCGCTTCTACATCTGTGCCGCCATCTGTGCTGTTGTCGACTCCCTCTAGGAACCATTCAAATTGTTTGCATTCTGCTCGTCATCATTTCTATGTTCGCATCACTCTCCCCCTTGACATCCTGGGTCAAGTCTCTATGAGCGTTGTTCCTAACTTCTGCGACATCGTGTTGCAGCATCCAACCCATCATATTTAACAACATTTCTCTCTCTCTCTCTCTCTCTCTCTCCCTCTCTCTCTCTCTCTCTCTCTCTCTCTCTCTCTCTCTCTCTCTCTCTCTCTCTCTCTCTTGTTTTAGTTGTCAAGGATCACCCACTGAGGAGCTCTTTCCCATGCCAAACAATCCCACATTGATATAACACTATAGAAGCACAAAGTCAATCAATTAGTTAATCAATCGGTCAATCAGTCGATTGGTCAATTGATCAATCAAACAATCAATCAGGTCGTCTGTCAGACAATCAATAAACTAATTAACCAATCAACCGACGACTATCAGGCAATTTATCAATCAACCTTGGATGATCGGTTGGTTGAATGTTCGAATGATTGATTGACTGTTCAATAAGGTGATTTATTGTTGGGTTGTTGTTTGTTTGATTGTAGTACAGGTCTGTTCTCACACTTCTCGCGGTTGGATTCGTCCACCACTGGGGGGAGCATACGACCTCGGTTTACACTTTCCCTCCTCTTTTTTGCGTGTTCGGGTGGAGGCTTCGAGGGTCTTTGGCGTGTGCGAGGAGGGTGTGCCGACATGGCGCGAGGAGGGAGGCCAGAGTTCATACTGAATGAGGAGTTCGAGAAAGATTCAAAGGCGAAGCATGTGATTTGGAAATACGTCCAGAAAGGGCAGGTGTTTGTGAGCCCTACGGGAGCAGACCCGAAGGGCAATTGCGAGTTGCGGTGTCGATTGTGTGGCCACCGGTGGGTTGGCAACCAAACCAAGGCAAGTTCACACTTCAATATCACACGCGAGCACGACAGGTGTCCGCACGCGTGTGTTTACATAATGAGGGAGTTGCAGCCGGCGGACGTCGCACTCAAGGGGTCCCTCCCTGTCTACGTGAGGGTGGCGGACAGGGATGCTGAGCTCAATTTTAAGCATCCCCTTAACTGGAGATTGCCTAGCGTCGCGGTACGAGAGCCCCCCCTGGTCCCCGTGCACGACTTGGCTCGCGGAGGACGGGGGCCACAACGGCCGGACCGAGCAGGTCAGGCAGCAGAGGGATGACGGCATGGAGCAGGCTCCTCCAGAGGAGCGGACCCGTCTGGAGGAGTGGGACCTTATGATGAGGGCTCGTCGGGAGTGCACAACGAGGGCAGGGGAGATGGTGCAGAGGGCACCTTGATGAGACAGTTTGATCCAATGGGGAAGGGGGTGTGTGATCCTAGCGGTGCTGCTGGGCCGACGAGGCCATGCCGTGAGGCGGACGGATCATCGCGCGCTCCACAGGACGAGCAGCAGTGGTGGAGGTCAAGGATGCTACAACGGGCGAGAGATGAGGGCATTCAGGTCCCTCCCGACCTCGAGGAGGGGCTTGCAATTGCCCCTGTGGAGGATAGACAGGCTCGTCACCAAGTGCCGCACCTGACTCAGACTCGCCTTGATGAATGGGTTCAAAACCCCATTCAGTACGACCTGGATATGACCTACATTCGATTCTTTGTGGGTTGTGGTGTGTCATTCAACATCGCCAGATCGGAGTGGTATGTGGCACTTCATGACGCCTATCTCAGTCAATTTAGGGTTCCCTACAGGCCGCGTCAGCCACAGTACGAGTTCGTGCGGACGACTCTGTTGTCCATGTTGTACGCAGAGCTCGACGAGCGCTTGAGGTATCACCGTGAGTCGTGGTCTGAGGGGGTCACTTTCATGACTGACGGTTGGTCGACTCAGGCCAACCGCCCTCTCTGCAACTACTTGGTCGCAGGGAGGTTGGGGGCGTCGCTCTACCGGGTGGAGGATATGTTTGGCAGGGAGAGGACCGGGGCAGGTTTGTGCCGAAGATGGAGGGAGCTCATCCTCGAGATCGGTGCAGAGCATGTGGTCGCCATATGCACGGACAACGCGTTAGCCAACAAGGAGGCTTACCGTTTGCTCCTTGGCGACCCCGATGAGCGACTGCGCCGCATCACATGCATTCCTTGAGCAGCTCACTGCTGCAATCTGATGCTGACGCACATCGCCAGACAGCCGTGGGTTGCGCAGGTGATTGCAGAGGGACGAGACTTCACACTGTTTTTTCGGCGCCATGCACGGGCAGCGTACCTTTTGAGCCGACAATCCCCCACTGTATCATTGATCCGGCTGGGAGAGACGCGGTATGGGACCAACTACATCATGCTGCAACGCATGGTGACGTTGCATCGGCCTTTGGATGCATGTGTGAGCGGTGTCGCCTGGGCGACGTCCCCGTGGCCCCCTGCATTGAGGGACGGCGCACGCAGGTGCTTCGACCTTCTTCGCGACCCGCGGTAGTGGCAGCAGGTGGAGCTTGTGTGCACCATTATGGAGCCAATTTATGAGCTCCTGCAGCAGGTTGATTCTGACGGGCGGAGAGTCGGCGATGTGTGGGGATTGTTGGAGCGCCTGCGGACCACGGTCGACGGACTGTCGCTTGATGAGGCTTGTCACATGCCCATCAAGGAGAGGTCGGATATGCTTTTGACCCCCATTCATTGTGCTGCGTACTTGTTGCACCCCAAGTACCGCAGCATCAACCTTTTGATGCGTGGGACGACAGAGGAGCCGCTCGAGTACATGGGGAGCCAGATTGAGGGTGGTCGACAGGGCCCGCTGATGACAGTCGTGTGGAGTTCTCTACAGGACTTCCACGACAAGTATCCCACACCTGCTCAATGGGGGGGGGACATTGGGGATGCGAGCGTGGAGGAGCCCGACTTCGATCCTTTGCAGTGGTGGAGGGTGCAGGGGGCCAGTCATCGGGTGTTGCGGAACATTGCCATGCGCTGCTTGGGTGCGTGGACCACAGCCTCTCCGTGTGAAAGGAATTGGTTGACGCACGACTTCGTTCACACGAAGAGGCGCAACAGGTTGGGCGTTGAGCAGTTGGAGAAGCTTGTGTTCTGTCATTGGAACCTCAAGCTTCTCAAGAGCAGTCACGCGCGCKGGGGGCTTATTGGGGCTGGTCTCCCGGAGGTTGGATTGACCGATGTCGAGAGGAGGGCTGAGGACTTCGCTCGCTACGAGCCGGACGAGATGGCTCCTGGGACGTATGACCCGACGGAGGTCGAGAGGGAGGCCGAGCGCCTCAGAAGACAGCCGAGGGACAGACGCTTGGCGAGGGCTGCAGCAGCACTGGCCCACCAGATTCGTCACCAGGGCGGGGAGGCGGTTCAGGGGGAGGACGTCATTGATGATGATGTCTCCTGGTTGACGGAGCCTTATCGAGGAGACGGGTTCTTAGAGGGGGCGGCCCCTGTGACTGTGAGCCCTGCGGGTCGGGTGCTCCCGCCACGAGCGGCGGATGATTGTTCAGGCGTCCCTGCCCCCACGCTCGCACCGGAGGCAGGCTCCCACAGCCTGCCTGTGGACGACGCAGACGACATATTGGGCGGCACTGATGCAGACGATGCGAGCGCGGGAGGGAATCCCGCAGCGAGGGCCGCTTGTGGGTCTGCCCGTGCGGGAGAGGCAGGCACGCTTGGAGCCGTTGGAGCAGGGCAGGCGTCGCCCACCAGGCACATGCACGATCTTCCTTCCCTCGGTGCACGGCCGTCGGCGTCGGGTGCGGTTGGTCAGACTGGTCCATCTCCATGCACGGCGGCGGACGCCGAGGGCACGATGCCCATCACTGCCGCTGACGACACAACACCTGCGCCTGCCATCTTTTCGAGCCCCCATCATGCAGTGGAGCGCGACTGCGAGGGGAGGATCAGACGACGACCAGGTTTCGTCGGTCCGCTAGACTGGTCGACCGCTTCAGCCATCCACCCGGACGCAGAGAGATATTTGGCAACATACTTGCCGAGACCGTTGTCGGATCTGCCACGAGAGGACCCGGATGCACAGGCTGGAGGCGGGGACGACGGAGAACCTGTTGCCGGGGGGGGCTGCTCCTCGTGAGGGAGGCTTAGACAGAGAGGAGCTCGCCCACGACCTGGCGACTGCCGGGTACTCCGCAGAGAAGATCAGGGAGGCGTTGAAGGGGTATCCCGGGCGAGATAGACGAGGCACGCCTCAACAGGGGATGCACGCACGCCAGCGATTGGATGTTGGCCGCACACGCGCCTCCCTGTCGCTCGCGTGGCCACCTCCGGATCCCTCCTTGGCATTGGACATCACAGGCGCGGGACCGCATGGGGCTCCCGTGACGGATACACTGGTGGCCGGTGGAGAGAGCAGCGGTGTACGGGAATGCGACATCCTCGGGACGGGTCTTCGCCATCCAGTTTCACATGTTGGGGGCATTGCTCGGACGGCGATGCCACTCCCACCCAGAGATCCGTCGATTGTCATGGAGCCACTTCGATCATTCGTTGGCCGGAAGCGGAAGGCAGGTGGTGCCCTTGGACATGAGGGCGTGAGAGCGGCGGGTCGAGGCCGAGGGAAAGGCCGACCGCCCGGACGAGGGAGAAGGGAGGGACAAGGCAGGGCTCGAGGAGGTGGCGCATTGGCACAGAGGACACCTGCAGGTGGGAGAGGGGATCACGAACGGGCACCGCCACCAGCATCATCGACGGGCGAGGGCGAGGAGGGGATAGCGCAACGCCTCGCCAAACGGAGTAGAGCAGATGCACCGACGACGACAGCACCCACACCAGCGTCATCTTCGGGCTCGAGCACGTCGGCTTCGTAAACGGGCTCGAGCACGTCAGCTTCGTCTTCGGGCTCGAGCACGTCAGCTTCGTCAGGTGACCCCGATTTCGATGGGCGAGAGGAGGAGGAGGGGCCGGAGGCCGATGCAGAGGGGGATGTGTCAGGATAGTGTTGTTCATTGCTTGTTTCATTGGTGTTGTCAGGCCATGCTTGGATCAGGTCCTCACACGGGGTTGTAGCAGGTCAGCAGGGTATCGAGGCATGACTTTTTTTTTTTTGGCGTACACTATTAGGCATTGAGGATTTCGTTGTTGCACACTGTTAGGATGTGGGGCGGGTATGGAGGGGGTTCTGTCGGTCGTTTGACTCACAGGGTCGTAGAGCTCCTCTTTGAGTGGGAGCGGTGCTCGGTGCAGAAACCTTGGTTGTCCATCGATCCGTCAGCTGGTCTGTCTGTCCGTCCGTCTGTCTGTTCTCGAAATGTAAACCGTCTGTCAGTCCGTCTGTGTGTCAGTGGGTCTCTGTCTGTGTGTTCGCAGGTCAGTTTCTATCTGTCTGTCAGTCCGTGTCAGTCTGTCTGCAGTTTCTATCGGATTACAGACTTGCAAAGTGTTGTCCTTCCCTTTTTTTTTTCTTTTTTTTTTTGAACAAGACCTTATGGATCTGCCTTTGTTCTATTCTGGGGAGCATCAGTCGGGTCACTTTTGCCCCGGCAAGTCATTGTGTTACGATCCTGGCCAATTTCGAAATCCACAATCATCGGGAAGTACAATGCTGTCCAATTGCGAAAAGAAATGAATGAACTTAAGTCCAATACCATCCAGTTGCAAAGAGAAATGAGAGAACTCGAGAGGAGAGAGGGAAATAAGGAGAAGAAAAAGTAAGAAAGAAGAAGAAGATGATGTACTCCAGCATAGACCAAAGGGACAAAGCTCTTCTCCTCTTTATCTCCTCCGATCTTATTCAAACAACAACTAACAACAATAATGTTGAACAGCTGAACCAGAATCAATGTTTGAATCCCACTTCTACTGCGGCTTCAACATGAGGTCCACCATAGCCATGGCCACCTTCTTCTTCCTCCATCCACATGCATGGGCTATGGCAGACTACTGGGGCCTTGCCCCCATGTCCAAAGGACAACATAAGCAGCTATAGCGCTGCTCCCTTCCTCTGACCGAAGGACCCTGTCTTCAATGTGTCACGTGTCACCCTGATATTGCAGACCCTGATATTGCACGTATCTACAATGTGCCACGTGTCACCCTGATATTGCAGACCCTGATATTGCCCGTATCGCCCTGATATTGCCCGTACAGGCTCTAGACTCAGACTGGTTGGACTGGTAACGGCCTAGTCCCTCCCTACCGCTACTGGACTCTAAAAATGTCAACTTTGTCTTCTTGTGCTCGGCCTCCAGTACCCCTGCACGCCAACTGCAGCGGGGTGCGGTATTGGCCTAGCGGCCTACTTGAGTGTTTTCCCGCCACCCCAAGGGCCACAGGGCCGCTAGCTTCACCACTCGAGTGTTTTCCTGGCTGTTACCCTGAATGCAAGGAACATGAATATGGACGAAGCACAGAAATGCAGATTGCAAAATCACACTGATGTCCATGTAGTCAAAGCCAGAGCAAAATCACACTGATGTCCATGTAGTCAAAGCCACTCGAGTGTTTTCCTGGCCAGTTCGTGGATACAAAACATATGCACACAACATTTGCATGTCGGCAATGCCTCTTCTGAGGGCTCATTTCTCACATCAATGCCACGACACACTTCTACGTTATGAAAGGAGCCAAATCAATAGGGAGTTTGTTCTCCTGTGCATTTTTCTTCAGATCTTCAACTTATATTTTGTCTGTTCTCTTCATGATGCTCATTCACATGCATTTATTAGTAGTACACACGGGGAGGGAGGAAGGAAGAAAGGAGGGGGCAGGGTGGAATTCTATACGAAGCAAAAGAGAGAGAGAGAGAGAGAGAGAGAGAGAGAGAGAGAGAGAAAGAGAGAGAGAGAGAGAGAGAGAGAGAGAGAGAGAGAGAGAAGGACGGAGAAGGGAAGTAGAGTGGCAAAGAACAGAACAGAGGAATGACAAACTTCACAGCGTTCTCACTGAATACTCATCGTTGGAACAGACTACTGCAGAATGACACGAGAGGTCAGTCAATTTTTTTTTATTTTTTTTTTTTACGAAGTCCACGTTGAGGTCAGTTTTTATTATGAGTTGAGTAGTAGCCGTTGCCTATGGTAACTGGCCACCCCCTCCAGACCGGACAGGACCTGTTCGGGTGATGTTTTTTTTTAGAGGAAACTGCTTTAGTGTCACACTTTCAATTTGAAATAGGCAGGAAAAACACTACGTCACAACTTCAACAACTGAGGTGTTCAAAACGGCAAAAAAAACTATAAGTAGCAGCCGTACCATAGCTGTAGTTCGTTAGAGGCAAAAACAGCAGAGAAAGAGGGTCCAACACAGGGAACTACGGGGACCTTTGTCGACCCACCAACCGGGACCTTTGTAGACCACCAGGACCTGTGGACAGAGTAGCACAGCGGCCTCAACGCCCATATCTGGACATGTTTGTGGAGAGGGTGCAAATTCTGTGATGTGGGGTTAAGGAAATAAGAATGTCATTCCTGCACATCTCCACCAATGCCTCGGAGTTGCAGTGGCTGCAAGGAATGGCACCGTGTAGACAGATGTAGCAGGTTATGTGCCAGTGACTCCTACATGCTGGGAACACAGAGGCATGTCGACCGAAATTGTATAGGCACTGCTATTCCAGCCCCTATCTACATATTGGTCATGCCATGTCAGGGTGGCATACTACATGAAAAAAAAAAAGAAAAAAAAAAAAGAAAAAAAAAAAAGAAATGCAGATTG